TGTACCGTCCGAACCCTGCCACCGTACGTGCTCGAACCTGGAAAACGTAGATGCCTCCGGGTTTGAGACCACGAATGACTGCGGTGTTGGTTTGACTCTTTATTATGGAAGAGTTATGCTCCGTCTGGTCCTGAAACAGAGAAATTACCAAAAAGAGGTAAAGACATCAATTTTACAAATCCAGTGGCGTTTTGGTCAAAGTTTTTCACACTGGAGGCTCACAAGAGACTCAGAGTGTACATATGGCTCTCTAACAGGGCTATCTATCTCATCAAACCCCATCAGTAGAGCTCGACTGTGGGTCCTGGGCAGAGGAACGGTGGCTGACACTTTCAGGCCAGCCACGATTCATTAGTCTGGGCTGAAAGCTGTGGCCATTGTCGCGCCACTTGAGTGTCTGTTTGTGTAAGAGAAGAGAAAGAGTGATAGTGAAGGAGAAGCAGAGAATGTAGGACTGTGTGTGTGTGTATACATGTACTACTTGAGTGCTCCGCTTTTTTCCTGTCAGCTCTATTTCTGAGCTCTGTGATGTGAGCTTTGCTGCAGTCAGAGAAGAGTGTTTTGACAGGCAGTCCTTAGCAATGTCTGAGAAAGGAATTATACTGAGGAAAGAGTTAGAACAGGAGCAGAGCCCTGGGGACCGTCAGCTTGTGTATGTGTATTACAAAGAAAGAAAGAAAAGACAGAAAGTATCTGTCAAACTACGCGTGTTGTATTTAAGGGTATAACTGTCTTATGTGTGTCAACCAGCGAAAACAAAGTGAGCGAAATGGGAGACTGAAAGAATATCTGCATACTATGTGGGCGTGAGTGTTTCTCATGTACAACTTAGCATGTGTGTGTTTTCTGCGGCCCGTGCTGACAGAGAGGAATCTGTGAGTGAAATATATTTTTTACTGCAGTGAAATATTTTAGTTATTTTAGCGACTGGTATCCAGATCGAACCACAACAGTCTTTTGCAGAGTGACTGCCGTATGTAATAGCGCTTGACAGAACAGGAGTTCGCTATTCATATCCAACAGCTGCCAAAACCCTCAATTAAACAGCAACTGTAAACGAACAATCATTTTCACAAGGAACTTTAATACATCAACATTAATAATAATAATAATAATAATACACAAAATGGTTATTGTTTAACGCATCAACGAATTTGCTGGAATGATACCAAACTGTGTCTGAGGCTGTATCTCTGCAAAGCTTTGACATTTTGACACCAAACTTTGTGTGTGCCATTGTCACCTCACACAGACCACACCACATCGATTTGATAACAGCACTACCTATTGGTCAAAAGTGATAAGCCATTAAATCATATCACTAGTGGATGTATTTATGATTTTTCAGCCATTTTGACTAAAATCATCTTAAAATGGCTTCAGTTACTCGCTGCTACAGTTGGTCTGATGCTTGCTGCCTTGCTTGCTTCTGTAGTGCTTGGCCCCTTAATTGCTGCTTGCAGCTATATGTATTATTATTATTGTTATTATTACATTAACAACAATAGCAATTTAATTTTAACTTATGCATTTATAAGTCACTCTTACAAAACTGAGAATTTTTAATGCATGCTTATAATAATGTTAAATGCACTGCATGCATTCTGCATAAAAAATGTGTACCATGTATTATACATTAATCAAGTGTGTTTATGTGATACCTTCTCATAATACTGCAGCTCGTAGTCTAGTATGACCCCATTGGGCTGGTCTGGCTGGGACCAGGATAGAGTGATGCTGCCAATGGTACGACTGACCTGGTGCATGATAGACACTGTAGAAGGAGCTGAAAAAAAAGACAGAGGCATATTATATACAGCATTTAAAAATTATGCAAATCACCCAGTGGATCAACTTACACATTAGATCTAGCAACAGTGACATTAAAGCACAGATCCTGGTGTGTGATTAAACAGATGTAAATTACACTGTGCTGAGCGACATAAACAGAGTGGCAAGGGGAATTTCCAGGCCAGTCTCACTCATTGGTCATGGTTCCTCAACGCGATTTAATCTAGCCTGAAATCTCTTGTTATATTCTCCTCAAAAGGAAGGCGGACTAATTTTGTGGTGTGCTGAAAACAAATAAAACTAGGTACAATTTCTACTCGTGAAAACCACAAGTATGGTGAACACAACTGGTATTTTGTGTCTTTGAATTTGTGGATTATAGAGTTTATTTTTTATCAGCATGCTTGGTAATTACAGAGAAAGAGTGTCAAACCCTATATTAGTGTCTCTGTTGTTTTGGTAACCTACCTAACTGCTGTACAAAAGAAAGTTTCCCATGTTTATTACTGAAATAAATGTCCAGGGTGTTCCTAACAGCTATTAAGCATTGGAGCATGGCATACCGGGTCAGAAAAACTCAATGGAGATGCTCGGGAATGCAGTTGGAGCTGTATGGGGTTTGGAGAGGCCGGGATTTATGGCCCTTGTCATCTCCAAGGCTCAGGCCCTTTAAGACACGGGCCTCTCCTCCGGCATGCACTTCTCTATGAAAAAGCCACTCTGTGGGAAAGCCCGTGGCTGCTATCAGCTTGAGTTTACGGTCTCCGGGGTTGAAGGAGAGCTTAAGTGGCTTATTCGTGTGCTTATTTCCTGCTCTCGAGATCACAGATTGACTTGTAAATCTGTCTCAAATGCACAGGTGATAAAGGAGGTCTTGAGTCTAGTGCTTAGAAGAGCACTGTTCATTTTCAGCAGTTTTTCTCCCTAGGGGAATCAGCAATATTTTGGATTTCAATTAATTGTCATAAAATTAATTGTGATTAATGATTTAATTGTCTGTTTTGTTCATGTTACTTACAGCATAGGCTTACTATACATACTCCTTAAGATGTAATGATTAAAATTTAATGTGAAATAATAAATGTAAGCAAAAGTTACAAATAAAATAAAATAATAAAATAAAATATAATGTCTTCTGCTCACCAAGCCCGCACCCATCTGATCCAAAATACAGCAAAAACAGTAACATTTTGAAACACTTCACTATGCAAAATAACCAAATAAATTATGTAATAAATGCTACAGGCCTAGTCTGCCCTGTGGCAGCAGGCGTTCATTTATCCAAACATACTTATTGGAAAACACAGGACATAATGCTGAACAAGCTGTAGTCTTGTTGTCCCTGCCAATTAATAAATATATGCCAGAGGATAATAAATGGCTTCCCAGGACTCTGAGCACTACAGGAGGGCTTGTGAATCCTCTGTCAGTATGCACCGTCATGCTCAGTCCAGCCCAGAGCTGCGCAATGAAAGGCAAGCGACCTGCAGCATCTTGTCAACCTTAATGTTGGTATGTGGAGGACTAATAAGGCAAGCAGTCAGGCTTTCTCAATGGGGAAGCATACAGGCATCTTATTAAACATGAATATTTATATTAAAGGGGACATCGGATGATTTTTTTTTATAGCTTTTTTTGTATTTAGTTAGGTTTCTGGCGTATCTGCTAGATCAGAAAAGCTGAAAAGAAAACACACAGCCAGTTTGTTATGAGCTGTCTGAGTTTGAAACTGTCATCCAGCGAGCTGTTTCAATTTGCAGCCGGTTTCTATGTAGATAGCTAGCTATTTGAATAAGACCACCTCTGAGCCATATACGAACTCCCCCATGGAAGAGAGGGGTAGGGTGAGCAGTAGCTCATTATCATTTAAAAAGACATGTGCTGAAATGGGATGCTGTCATTAAAACCCTAAAATATCATACCAACTTGTGGAAAATGCGCATCCGATGTCCCCTTTAAAGGCTGACATATGTGCTTTGTGTGCTGCATTTATATCACTCCCAGCCTGTCTCCTGGAAATCCAATCTTGGATAATGCAAACAAAGTTAGAGCATGTACAACAGCTCATTAGGGGTGAACATATGCTGATTTGAGAGAGCTGAGAAGGCAGACTGTTAAGGTTTTCCGGTTACCGGGGGATGTTTTCCTCATTGCGGAATGACAGCCGCCCATCACTGAAAGTTACAGGGCATCACAGTTGAAATGAAAGGAAAACAGTAGAATCATGGGTAAGAAAGTGACAACTTAAAAACCCTCTAAGCCAAGAAAGTGCACTCACAGTCATGATTATCACAGCTAGTAAAATGTCCGTTCTACTTTTGTAGAATTCCAGTGTTTCCACACAATTGCTCTCTATGGTACAGTTGATGAGGACTATTTATCTGCAAGCCTAGATGCTTAACTTTTTCCTGGCAGATGGAGTGTTCGGACACATTGGAACAATTTGAAGAAATGTCTGTGATTGGTTACATTGCTCAACACTGCAAAAACTCGTTGAAAATAGAAACCTTAAGCACTCTCCAGAGTGCAAACACAAATACGTATTGGATTGTTTGCCAAATCTGTTCAGGCAATATGCTATTATTACAGCTTCAACTGAGGACGCTCTTGCTTTCGTTTGAGCTAGCACCACTGTAGATCCGGGCCTGTATGACAATGTAAACAACAGCTCAATAACCCTTTTATTTGAAGGCTTAATATAATTCCCGTAGAACGGTCCATTGCAGTCAAATGTCCTGGTGTGTGTTCTGTTTGAACTAGGGATGTCAATTTTCGATCATTTCCATGATCGATCGTCATTTAAATTAACGATCAATTAATCGTTAACCTTAATGCTGCAAAATGCTGTCTATGCATGACAGGATGCGCAAAAGTTACTCAAAAAAAAAAAAAACCCCGCTTTCTCACCCAATTTAAAGGGGATTTAGTCTGAATAAAATGCTAGTAGCAGGATTGTAAAATGAATAGATGTGATTATGATCATTTGATAACATGAAGAGAGCTCGTTTGAGATCATTTTACTTTGTTGACTGTTTCCTATCCCGACACGGGGACCGCTGAACGCGCCTCTTTAAATGGTTTATTTTTATTTAGGCCTATTGCTTACATAGGCTATACATTTTCCTTAACGCATCCCATTTTGTCCCAGGGCTTGAAAACCTTATGCACTAGGCTAGTTAGGTCCATGCAGAAACTAGTGAACGATGCTCAGTTGTGGCATCACCGTTTAGTGACATAATTGAATGCTCCGGGAAAACGTATAGTCAGTGTCGGTCACTCATTTTAGTTAAATCATGGGTTATTTAAGGAGCAAAATTAATTAAACATGGACAGTGGCCACGAATTAATAAGTCGTAGGAACGAATTAACAAGTTGTAGGAATGAATATCTGTCCTGTGTCCCGCAGCCCTACAAAGCGCAGAGCCCGATATGAAAGAATTATCTGGGGAAATGACTTAGTTACTACATTTCTATTGCTTTCCATGTTGAAGAACTTTGTGTTGTTTCTATTTTAATGCACTTTTAAAGTTTAAATCACATTAAAAGCTTAATTTGTACATTATGAATGAATGATGATGCATTTATATACCGTCACCGGCACTTACAGTCGCTCGCACGTGTTTTGCGCATGAGCCGCGCGCAGCCCAAAATTAAACGACTTAATCGACCATCGATAGCTTTAATCGATTGCATCTCTTATCGACAATTAATCGATCATCGATTAATCGTTGACATCCCTAGTTTGAACAAATGTTCTAACCAATACACCCGTTGTGCTTTGTGGAGTTTTGGTGTGTTTTATGGACTTGATAGTGTTTCTTAAATGTGGTGATTAAGAAACAACATTGAGAAACAAAATCGTGCTAACCAATCAAAAGCTGTATATATTTAGATGTATGCAGATATTTTTCACTTGCTGTAAGTGTTTTTTGAGTAATAAATGGAAAGCAAATTATGTTTGTATTGCTTTATTCTATTTACTCCATGGATCTCCGATTTGATTCAGTGGTTTTTGATAATTCATTAAGTTTCAATGGCTAAAAAGTAACCATTAGTAGATTTTGATTATGATTAGTCTCATGTTAATCTTGAGTACCTATAGAGTATTGCATCCCTCATATCTCCAAAGTGTCTTTAGTTTTATCTGATTTATAAAAGACAGATCCAGGTGTACTGCTTCTCTCCGAAAACAGTCGAGCTCCTGGAGGCATGTCGTTGGCCACGAACACGCGAAGCTTTTACATAGCGATCGTCTGCAAGCTGTGACATCGACATAAATAAAACAGGAACAAAAACTTTATTGACTTAAATGAACTATGGCTAAAAATCAGATCCAGCCATATATATTCGATCCAGAATCGGTTCCCGACGACTTCCGTGACCCGAATGAAGCAGACTGATGGGCGTGCTCTTGCTCTGGTTGATGTGTGGGTACGCTCTTCCTGGAGAAATGCACATTCAAGAAATCCTGCCCTTTATGAAATCATACAGGGCCATACACGAGAAAAACTTTCCGAAACTTATACGAACCCTGAAGGAGTGTCTTTGGCACAGAAATACGTTGTCATACACTCAACTCGTTTTTTGAGACTTTTGAGACTTTTAGTTTTAGAATCCAACTCCAACAGTGTATACAAGTCAGAATGCATGAAACAGAATTAGACATCCCCTTTAAGTACTTTTAACATCTGTACTTTTACTTGTAATTGAGTATTATTTCATTAATGTAACAGTACTCATACGTGAGTACAAATTTTCAGTACTTCACCACTGACAGTGAGTGAGCAAAGAATGTGTAACCAAAAGCTTGGATTAATCATCATATAAAAGGCTCTGACTGATGTGGAATGTTCTCTCAATCCCATTGGCTCTTCATTATGGGTCTGTATAATAGGTTTGGCAGGCATGTGGATCTCATTTGTAGCTGAGTTGTGGTGTGGAAGAGCGACATAGTGATTTGGTAAGGTTGGTAGAAGTAGCCCTTGCAGGTCAGTGCTTATAAATTTCGTCCACCCCCATTGACTCCCCTAGCCCCTTTTATGATAAAACTTCCCCAGAGTGCAAGTTTTTCCCAGCACAATCTGACAGCAGCTGCTGTTCTTCTCCTGAGCGGGAACGTACACTGCGAGTGTCCCCTATTTATGAGACTCACGTCCAGAGAGAGCCAGAAAGGAGGGGAAGAACCCACTACATTTGCATGTAACTTTTAGAACCCCCCCCCAAAAAGCTGCTGTTCTTCTCCTGAGCGGGAACGTACACTGCGAGTGTCCCCTATTTATGAGACTCACGTCCAGAGAGAGCCAGAAAGGAGGGGAAGAACCCACTACATTTGCATGTAACTTTTAGAACCCCCCCCCCAAAAAAAAAAGAGGCAGAGAGAAACAGTGCGTCTGGCAGGCGTCCCTATTTCCCATCTGTATTGGATTGAGGGTTTTATGTCTCCACAGAGTACAGAATTTCCAGTGCCGTAAAGTAGCGCACCCCCTTTTCAGTTCATCAAGCTTTAAACCATCTGCACTGGAAAAGATTGAAGCATTAATGTACTCGTATACACACCATAAGCTAATTCAAAAATAGGCACTCCAGCGTCTTAAGAAGATTGTAGACACTTACAGAGAGTTTGAGTCTAATCTGAAACCCTCTGTACAGTTTCGCTGCTCTAGGAACTCTGGTGTTTAGAGAAAACCTGGGTAAGTCTGCAAATGGCAGCTGTCCAATGACGTGCATTAGCATTCCTTCTTTTATGCATAGATGCATAATCAATGGGTATGATGTATATCGACTGCCATCTGACAGATCTCATGATCTTCACAGACAACCAGAGGTCTGTTGGCATGTCACATCTAAACAAAGGAACCTGTTCAACTCTTGTTCTTTCTGTTAACAGAGAGCAGGACAAATTATATTAACTCCTACGATTTTGTGATCCTGCCATGACTTATTTGGGACAAGACTTAGCACAGTGAGCTAATCATGTGAGCCCAAGCCTGTATGTTATTTTAGCCTATAGGATCTTGGTCTAAAAAATTACCTAGGTAACTACTGGCTCCTAAAATGCTAATTTTATTTACCAAATTACTTACAACGCATTTTTGCAGCGTTGAGTAATGTATCACAGACATATCTGTTGATTCCTTGAACGCAATGTTAATCAGAATCCACTCACTGCTCAAAACACTGGAGTTTTGTTCAGTGCTGAGTTATGCAAGCTCACGAATCCTCTCATAATAACAAACAAAGTGTAGACTGTAAATAAGAGATTCATAGTGCAGTGTAGAGAGCTTCGTTGATTATAATGGAACTATGTGAGATTGCGGTGAACTAAGGTGAGTGACAGCTTTTAATGATTATTAAGGGAGTTTGCAAATGTGATATTAATTTAATACAACAGTTCAATAAACAAGAAGTTAATATTAAGTGACTTACATTGCCTGACTACAACACTGTTGTCTGATTTTGCTCTATTTAAATATAAATAGAAAATTTTCTTGGAATAGAAAATAGCAATCTCCAAGCAAACACAGCAGTGTTTCGTTTATGAATGAATGTGCATTTTTAAATGAATCTAATGAGTCAATGTTTCAATTGCCCATTCATAAAGACAGTCACTTGATTCGTTCCTGAATGAATTTTTTGTTTCATTTTTAAAGTGTCATTTCAGTTATTTAAATCATTTAATATTTCTCAAAATGTTACATTTAAAACATTAATCTCAACTTGAATTTATGAATTTAATTGCACTCATGCCACCTCTGAGCCTCATTAAATGTCTGAAAATATAACTACAAGCCACTTTTGTGCTCTTCTGTGCCACCTCTGTAGTACAACTGAATTTTGTTAATACTGATTTCATTTGATTGGTAACTTATTCTTCTGATTCTACTTGTTCTTATTCTATTGTTTTAATTAAACATTTTGAAAAAGCTTATAAAAATAATTATTTGAATTTGACAAAAAAGATGACATTCTTTTAATAAAGTTAGAAAAATGGCAGTACAAAGGTAAAAAAAAAAAAAAAATGCCCCTGTAAGTCATTTTAAGGAGTCAAATATCACCTCGTCATGAGAAGGCAAATTGTTTTTATTGATCAGAAGGTGTGCTGTGCTCCTAAAAAAAGAAAAGTACCTGTAGAGCCCTGAGAGGGTGTTTGTTGTATATTTTAAATCCTCAATGAATTTCAGGTTCATATCAAACAGCGGTTTCACATATTACACTAGATATTTGTTTATTCTTCTCTGCCTTTTTAAACATTTCAGAACATCATGATTAACTTCTCCACTTCCAGCAATAAATCAACATGTCTAATTGAGCCTTTGCACCTGTCATTGTGGTACTTTGCTAATCCAGAATAATTACAGCAAAATACACTGTTCTTTGTGAACATTATTGGCCTTGATTAAATGAAAGTGATTTAAACACAGCATCCATGTTGTATTGTATTTTGATGCATACACAAAATATTTTTAAGCATCAAAGCGTTAAGCAATTTCCAAGATTTCAAATTTACAACAATCCACTTATATTATCGTTTTTTTTTTGGTACACATGCATAATCAAATGGATATTTTATGCACTGGTCACTGCATAGTCAACAGCTCCAGCAGCCTGCCCTGCATACTTATGAAGGCCATTTTCCCTGGCTAATGCAAATGAAACAGCCCTTGCTTTCCTCCAGTGACACCTGATGTGATTAGTATTCAACAGCATGTGACGGGATGGGAGCTGTGATTTTGGACTTTGCCAGTGCTCCAGGTGTCCGGTGCAGTCTCCTGACCGGCTGCCCCCTGACCCCACCTGGCACCTTCCATATGTGCCCTCTCTGCCACCTTCTGTCACAGTGCTCCCACATCGGCCACCCGCTTTATATTTGTGATGCACGGCATGAAAAGGGCAGCCTTCTCAGGGAAAGATCCATGTCCGAGGTGAACAAAAAAAAGCACAGGCTAGCTCTTCAGCATTACAGGTGGCAATCTACATCCATCTGAAAGCCTTACCAAAGTACGCACATACTGAATATTAAAATGGACGTCTTTCTCGACATTAAGGTCAAGAGAGTAAAGTACAAGAGTGCACTTCTCAATTACATGGCAATAGAATCATCTAGCTCACTATCGCCACTTTCTCCGGAGGCTGCCGGTGGCATAACTGTCTCTGGTGGCCCGACGGGAGTTCACTAAAGTAATTCTGAAGATAATTAAGTCATAAATCTTCCACCAGCACCTGACAGCGCCTGAGCCAGATTACCAGACCCGACTCTGCATAATGTAATTCAGTCATACAATGATTCCCCCATCTGATAAGGAACCAATTCATTTCCTCAGGTATTAAGCAAAGCCTGACACATGTGGTACTGCTCACCTTGGGCTAATGAAATGGATAAACAAACAGTATCTGGGGTGTATAATGCTGAATGACGCAATACGGAGTGAGTTGGCAGACGGAAACGGCATATGGGTCGGCCGTTTATCTGGGTGTGCCAGACTCTCATGCAGAAAGCTATCGGCCCGGGAGCTAATGTTGCCAGGAGTTTGCCGTGGTGGACAACAACTGTTACGCTCAAACAGTGCGTTAGAGACTCTCATGCTATCGGCCCGGGAGCTAATGTTGCCAGGAGTTTGCCGTGGTGGACAACAACTGTTACGTGTTACGCGTGCGTTAGACTGGAAACATGCTAAGCAAAAATCTGACAATCTGTATATATATATATATATATATATATATATATATATATATATGTATATTATAGACACGCACATATACACACACACACAAAGAAAAACAAGTAGATAGAATAGAAAAAATAGAAAGCTAGTGTTTGTTTGTTTGT